TCAATGCGAGAGGAAGGAATGAATGTAAGGACAACAACATCATCATAACACGACGATAACCATCGAAAAGGACAACCAACAACACCAACCATCGCGAAAATGGGCACCACAAAACCAACCAGCGACGATAAAGTCGAACCACAACTTGACTCACCACAATGACAACTTCATTGACCCTTGCGACAACAAAGATGACAACATAAGCGAACTTCAATGAACTAATGGAAGTGTAGAAAGAATGAGAACAAATGGATGCGAAGTGCGGAGAAAGCCAAAAGAAATGGAAACGAAGCACAAAGAGAACGAGAAAAAGAAGCCTAGAGCTTTTGCAAAAGTGAGGCACAAAAGGAAAGAGGAGATGCATATTTGATATTTTATACCGGTATAGAAAGTGTTCACAATATTATATTTTTTTACCATGTCACTTTTTACATGGATTATAAGTCTAACCTATATAGAAAGATAACTTTATATACTGATTTTCAATGCAGTCGGTATAAAAAAGTTTGTAATTTATTACAATTTTGTTATTGTATCACTTTTTATATTGATTTTGTGTTTAACTGGTGTAGAAAATCTTTCCGTATTTACCTTTAATTTAGTGTGTCATTTTATACTTCATGAATTTGAATCGATATAAAAATGTCTTATAAAAAATATTTTTTGGATTGTAAAAGATGACACCATTAAACACTCAGTTTAATAAAAATGAAAAATCTAAAAGTTGAAGTTTCAACCAACATTTCTTTTGAACTTTTGTAGTTCATCCCACGAGAATTTGTCTCTTGAAAAGTCAGCATATTTGTCTTTAAGCAACTTTAATCCATCAAAGAAACTCCACTTACACGTCTTATTTAGATTTGTATATTTTTTTTGTTAGAATGTTTGATTAAAAAAGTTGGTTTTCTTTGTCAAGTGAGTCATAAAAACAGTACGTATTACTTTCACTAAACTGAAGCAGTAATAAATAATTCAAACGTGATTTTCTACCTTCTTTTCTCATCACTTCTTCATCCTCCAATCTCCCTTTTATATATTCCAAATTCCCTTTCTAATCAATCATCATCTTCTTCATTACTCCTTTGCTGCAAGCCCTTCATACCTTCATTCTTCATCCAAAACTACAATCTTTTCATAATCTTCCTTCTTCCTCCTTCAACTTTTCTTAACCCAAACAGAACAGACAACTTTCTATCATCTACATCAATTCCCAATTCCAGCATCTCTATTTTTCCTCTCAATTCGGTCATCAACAACCCACAAAACAGATTCAACAAATTCTTCAGGTAAGAGCAGTGAATTATAATACATAACATAGAAACACAAATTACAACATACAAAACACATTATTTGCTTCATTTTTATTTCATAACCTGTCTAAATAAATATGCCAATGTGAACATTATTCTCACAAGAATTTCTACATAAAATGTACATCTTGCCTAAAACATTATTCTCATTGCAGTATTTTTCTATAATGAAATACCATAAAAGTATAATTCTATAAATTGTTGAGTACATTGTGCAAATTAGAGATATAATAAAACTATAAGACATAAATATTATTTTATATATTATAGTTTGTTTAAGCAGGGAGAAAAATATATTTTAGAAGCTGTAATTATGTTTTAAGTTATTGTAATTAATTTTTTGTATTAATGATATTATTTCATAAAAGTTTATTTATTTTAAAACTGACATTATCTTATCGAGGCCAGCCAAATGATATAGTAACTGCAACAGGTTACAAGATGTTATTTAAACACAATTATTAAATGAATGAATACGAGTTTTTATTAGCACATTTTTAATGTAACTGTGACTGTATTTTAAATTTGAATGTTAATATTGGATTTGAAATTGTTTGACCAGTGACTTTACAAGACTCGTAAAATTGGATAAATTTACTGTTTTGAAACAGGAAAATGAGTGAAGAAATTATCGTTACTGTATCTGTGGGTTTGAGCGAAAACCATGTAATCTACTCTTCTCGTTGGTGTGTATGGCCTTTTAATAATATCTCTTTTACAAATTTTAAGTGTAATTCAATTTTTTAAAGTAAAATTTACATTTATAATATATATATATATATATATATAATAAATTTTGTTAGAATAAATTATTTTTAAATCTAGTTCAAATTCAAATTTATTAAAAAGGTTAAGTTTATGTCTAAAAGTTGATGTGTACTTTCTAACATTTTACATCTTGTTAACCAAACATTTATCTTAACTTTGTCATTTTTGTTATTCTTACAATTTTTTTTTACAACAATTGAAAATTATAATACTACTCAAATAATCATGTGCTAGAAAATCCATATTTTAAGATAAAATAGAGGTATTCTAAAAAAGTATAATTGTGTTTGTTTGTTCAATAATAAGGGCTATTAGTCCCTTCGATATTTTTTTGAAGATAATAATAACTAGTTATTTCTTATATGTAACAGAGGTAAAATTCGTATTTTCTACTAAGTTCTTGGTATGACAACCATTGAGTTAGAGAGTAGTAAAAATACTTCTTATGATAGAAATGTTGAAGTCAAGGCTTTTGATGAAACAAAACTTGGGGTGAAAGGGTTGTTAGATTCTGGAATCACAGAGATCCCACGAATGTTCCACCATGTCAAGGATAACACTGAAACCATACCGAGTAACTTAAAGTTTCATGTTCCTATCATAGACTTAAAAGACGTAAACACAAATTTATCCATGCGCGTTGAAGCACTTGACAAGATAACAAGGGCATGCAAGGAATGGGGATTTTTCCAAATAGTGAATCATGGTATTGGTGTTGAGGTTTTGGATGAGATGTTACATGGAATCCGAAGGTTTCACGAACTAGATGATGAGGTAAAGAAAACCTTTTACTCAAGGGATCGGAGTAAGAAAGTTAGATATTTCTCTAACGGTAGCCTTTTTAGAGACCTTGCTGCTAATTGGAGGGACTCAATTGCATTTTTTTCTTCTCCTCACCCTCCTAATCCAGAAGAAATCCCAGCAGTGTGCAGGTACTTAAGTAATACTAATTTTAATGGTAATAATTTTAATAGTTTATAATTCAAGTCACTTGTACAATTTTGACATTATCAAATGTATGTGGACTTTTTCAATTGTTTATGATATACTAATCATGTATTTGCAGAGATATTGTGGTTGAATACACAGAGAAAATAAGGACATTAGGCTTAACAATGTTTGAGCTATTCTCAGAGGCTCTTGGCCTTCCTACGTCTTACTTGAATGAATTGGACTCTATAAAGGGAGAATTTCATTTGTGTCACTATTATCCTCCATGTCCTGAACCTGAATTAACTATGGGTACTTCAAAGCACACTGATATTAGCTTCATGACAATTCTTCTACAGGACCATATCGGTGGTCTTGAAGTTCTTCATAAGAATCAGTGGGTTAATGTTCCTCCAGTGCATGGATCACTTGTTATAAATATTGGGGATCTTCTACAGGTAAGAGTAGACACATGTATATCTTTCTTGGTTTCCCTTGATGTTTCTAGTGGCATTCTTTGTATGTGTCTAAACCATTTTAATTATTCTTCTATTTTTTTCCTTAATTAGAGACACTTGTTAGTCAATCTCTCAATTTTGTTCTCTTGTTGTTCCTTTAAAATCTAACATTTACAATGGTAGAGTATAGTCCATCATGCAACATAAGACACTTCCTTTTACACTTGTACAAATATTTTTAGCGTTTTGACTATATTACTCTTTAGAACTCATAACAAATGTTTTATGTTTGAAGTCTTGGTGTTTCTGTCATCTATTGTTATGATTTATCAAAGTAAAAGTCTATAACATTTTATGGTTATATTTTATTTGTCTCCTTGTTGATCTAGCTTTTGACAAATGACAAGTTCATCAGTGTGTATCATCGAGTCTTATCAAAGGATATAGGGCCCAGAATTTCAGTAGCAAGCTTCTTTACCAGCTCATTTCCACATTATGCATCAAAGATTGTTGGTCCAATAAAAGAACTGTTATCAGAAGACAATCCACCAATATATAGGGACACTACTATAGAAGATGTTGCGGCCCATTATCATAAGAAAGGCCTTGATGGAAATCGTTCCTTGCACCCCTTTAGACTGTGGAATGGTTGAGAATTCTATTGGAGCAAGTTCTCTAAGAGCACATTTGGCTTTAATATGTGTTTTATCATGGTTAACTTGTGCATATGATTATATATTTTAAGTATCTTGTGAATTTTAAATAAACAATTTCAAGCTTCAAAGAAAAGGTTAATTCATCCCTTAAGTATTTGTATTTCACAAGATGAAATAATCTTATAGTTTCTGTATTATGATAATATTACATAGACTACTGACTATATTATTCCAGATATTATTCTCAGAGTACTTATAAACTTATTTTATTTATGTAAGCTTTATAATTATGTCAACCTAAACGTTAAGATATCAAATACATTCAAAAATTATTTTATTTAATAGTTAAATTTGTTGATAAGTTTAAATGATATGTGATTTAGGAAGTCTTCACAAACATATTCTGTCATATCATGGTTATGGTAGAAAAATTGAATAAAAAGATGAAATGATACTTCATAAAAGGTAATTGACTCTTATTTCATGGAGAAATAATAAAGGAAACGTATCACTTTATAAATTCAAATCAAAATACTTCCTTAAAAATAAACATTCTATATATTCAATTTGCACCATCATTGATGTTATATATATTTTAATATCTATAATTCTATTTAATACATTTAAATTAGAAATCTTCATAGATAGATTGTTATCGTAAGTAAAGACAAGACATAAAATATTGTCTACTTTTGAATAATGAATCTTGTGATCTAATAATATGTAATCTAAATATAATTTAGGTTAAACGTTGCATTCATGGAAATTGGATTGAGCAATATTTATTTTTCAGTCAACATTTCTTTTGTACCTTTGTCTCTGCTGATGTATATGATTGAATCATCTGGCCAGAATTTCTCTTGGAGAGTCGGCATCTTTGTCTTAAACAATTCTAATCCATCAAAAAGCAACCTCACATACACATCTTATTTATGGTTGTCTTTGTCAAGTGGGTCTATGATGAAAACAGTATGTATTACTTTCACTTCTTCATTATCCAATCTCCATTTTCTTTCCAAATTCCCTTTTGTAATCAATCATCATCTTCTTCTTCATTACTCCTTTGCTGCACAAAGACATCAAAGACTCATCTTCATCCTTCCACATAACCGATTCATCATATTCTTCAGGTAAGAGCACTGAATTATAATATATAATATAGAATCACAAATTACAATATATAGACAGGAACTTTGTTCTCATCCTTTTAATTCACCAACACGCGATTCTATTACTCATCTCCTTCATCATTCATTTCTTCTTTCTTCTTTCTTCTTCAATTTTATTCAGACATAACAGAGGAGGAGGAGAATCTCTTAATTTTCTTCCTTCACTACGTTAATTCATAACTACTTGAGAATAATATCCAGGACTTCAATTTCCAGCACAATCACTAAACACTTCAACCTCTTCTACAACACAAGAACCTTAAACTTTCCAAGTATCAACCAACCCATCAAGCACACCGTAACCTTTATCTTCAACCTCCGTTGCTATAATTTTCCATTCACCTAGCACAAAATCCTTCACCCAATTTCTAACAATTTCTATGCATAGAACAAAGAGGGAGTAGAAGATTGGATAACAAATGGAAAAGTGTGGCAGCGAGACACACTGTGATGGAGACGCATTAGAGCCCTCCGTCTTTGATTTGTTGTGAACTTAAAAGGGTAGCAGAAACAGGTGGAACTACGAGCAGGTGAATCGCAGTGACAGAGACTATGGTTGTCGCCGTTGATGCCTCTAATCGTGGAGGAGACGCAGGAATTCGTGATTGGCCGTTTGGTTGTGTCGCCGGAGATCTCGAGGAGGAGTTTCGCGTGTTAAACGGGGTAAAAAGCAAAGGTTCGTGCGACGATGGCAGCAGCTCTAGCTCCGATTGACGTTACCGGATACACCCTGACCGGCTGTGAGAAGCGCAACCATGGTGGACCTGGAAGAAGGAGAAAACCCATGTCAGCGACGTTCGCAGCTCAGGTCTCGACGAGGTGAGGTTGCCGAGCCATGTTTTCGCGATTTGCAGATCTGATAGAAGGAAGAGGTGCGGCGACGACGCCGGAAAGGTTTTGCCGAGGCGACTGGTGCCGCCGCCGATGACTCTAGCGAACTGGGTAAGGCACGATGGCTGCCCCTGGAAGCTGGTGTTGGGGTTTCGTGAGGCCAAAGGAGTAGAAAGCGGTGGTGCGCGATGCCTCTTGCGACGGCGTGGCGAGCTTCGATCAATGGCGTGGCAACGGCCAGGTGGAGGAGATGCTCGGAAGAAGGGGTAAGCGGCTACCGGAGACATGGAGATGTGTGGAAACCAATAAATGGAGAAGAGAGGTGGATGAAGAATGAGCTTGGTGGCCATATTTGATTTTTACACATCCCAACTAATGCTTTGTATCTCCATTATTGGCTGGCTCTTTTTATGTTTATTACCGATACCTCCATGATCTTATTTTTAGTTTTACCATTACTTAAAATTTTACATTCCGGAAGTAAAAACAATAATAATAATAATAATACTTATCTTTTTCAGGAATTGATCGTTCACTAAGTAATTGAGATAGCAAGGAGTATTTTGGACCGATCAAAATTTCAAACAAAGCTTGGGAATAACTCGATAAGGTACGATTTAAATATTGATATTTTTTATGATTTGTGATTTGACTAAACTGAATTAGTTTTTTAATGAATTGTTGTAATGATGTAAAGATATATATATATATATATATATATGGGTGATGTTGAATTATGTATGCATAAATATTGATACCTGAAATAGCAAGGAGTATTTAAATATTGATATTTTTTATGATTTGTGATTTGACTAAACTGAATTAGTTTTTTAATGAATTGTTGTAATGATGTAAAGATATATATATATATATATGGGTGATGTTGAATTATGTATGCATAAATAATTATACCTGAAATTGTTAATTTGTATAAATTGGATAAATTTTATGAATATGGTCATGAGGAGAAGTGTCATATTGTATAGTGTAGTACATACATTGGTATAAGAATTTTGACGTGAAGTCATCTTGACTCTACTAATTTCTCATACTCATAGAGAGAATGAAATTTAGATGATGAGAGTAAAAGGAAATTCCTTGTAAGCAAGACCAATATGAAATGATATCGTGACTTAAAGGATTATAAGGAACTAAGCTTGTTAGATGCTTTTGGAATATTTATTGAGGTTGAATCTATTACAAAGAAAAACTATGATAGGTGTAAGACTTTACAAGAATATCAACACCATATTTACACGTTTTTGGAATTGAAGTATTATATGTTTATTGGTGTGTAATGTTGAAATAATTAATATCTTATTTGAACTAAAATTATATAAATTTTTTGATAGAACTTATGAAAATAGTTAAGCTTAGCCTTCATTTCTTTTGTAGTGTTTTGATATCCACTTACAAATCATACATGTGCATTATGTACGAGCACATAACTAGGTAGATATACTTCCAAAGGATCTTGTTGAGGATGGCAAGGAACATTAGTGACATTACCAAGTATAAGAATAGAAGATTAGGATTAATTATATAAGTATAAATATAAGTGTATTTAAAAGATCTCTTAGTAAATCCATATTTTAAATCAAAATAAGAGTCCTCTAGAAAAGTAAAATGTGTCTATTCGTTCAATAATGGGGGTCATCACTCTCCCCTTCATCTAAATACTTTATCTTTTCAAGATGACAATAACTAGTTATTTCTTATATGTAACACAAGTAAAACTTGTATTTTTAACCAGTTTCATGGTATGGCGACCATAAGCAAAACTCTGTTAGAGGCAAAGAATAGTAAGGACTGCTTTTATGATAGAATAGCTGAAGTCAAGGCTTTTGATGAAACAAAACTTGGGGTGAAAGGGTTGTTAGATTCTGGGGTCACAAAGATCCCGCGAATGTTTTACCACGACAAGGTGAAGGACAACACTGAAACCACACCAAGTGACTTAAAGTTTAATGTCCCCATCATAGACTTGAAAGACATAGACACAAACTCATACCTACGTGTTGAAACACTTGACAAGATTAGAAGGGCATGCAAGGAATGGGGATTTTTCCAAGTAGTGAATCATGGTATTAGTGTTGAGGTTTTGGAGGAGATGTTATGTGGAATTCGAAGGTTTCATGAACTAGATGCAGAGGTGAGGAAAACCTTTTACTCAAGGGATCGGAGTAAGAAAGTTAGATATTTCTCCAATGGTAGCCTTTTTAAAGACCCTGCTGCTAATTGGAGGGACACAATTGCATTTTTTTCTTCTCCTCACGCTCCTAATCCAGAAGAAATACCAGAAGTGTGCAGGTACTTAAGCAATACTAATTTTGATTATAATAATTTCAATATTTTATAATCGAAGTCAGTTGTACAATTCACCATTCGACACTATAAAAAATGTATGTGTACTTTTTCAGTTGTATATGATGTAATAATTATGTATTTGCAGAGATATTGTGGTTGAATATACAGAGAAAATAAAAGCATTAGGCTTAACAATGTTTGAGCTATTCTCAGAGGCTCTTGGCCTTCCTACATCTTACTTGAATGAATTGGACTCTGTAAAAGGAGGATTTCATTTGTGTCATTACTATCCATCATGCCCTGAACCTGAATTAACTATGGGTACTTCGAAGCACACTGATATTAGCTTCATGACAATTCTTCTACAAGACCATATTGGTGGTCTTGAAGTTCTTCATGAGAATCAGTGGGTTGATGTTCATCCAGTGCATGGATCACTTGTTATAAACATTGGGGATCTTCTACAGGTAAGAAATGTAAACACATGCATGTTTTTCTTAATTTCCCTTGATGTTTCTAGTGGCATTCTTTGCATGTAAACCATTTTAACTATTTATCTGTCATCTTTTCTTTAATTGGAGTGACACAAATATCTCATAATACACAATCATTTCGTTTGTCTTTAATGTCAATCACTATCACATTTTTGTTCTTTTTGTGTCTTTAAAATCCAATATTTACTATGGTATAGTATAGTTCGACATGCAACAAAACCAGGACACTTCCTTTAACACTTGCATAAATATTTTGAGCATTTTGACTAGATTATTATCTAGAACTCATAACAAGTGTTTGATCTTTGAAATCTTGGTGATTCTGCCATATATTTTTATGACTTATCAAAGTAAAAATTTGTAAGATAACCAACTTTCACAATTATATATCGTTGATGCAGCTTTTGACAAATGACATGTTCGTCAGTGTGTATCATCGGGTCCTATCAAAGGATATAGGGCCCAGAATTTCAATAGCAAGCTTCTTTAAAAGCTCATTTCCAGAAAATGCATCAATGGTTGTTGGTCCAATAAAAGAATTGTTATCAGAAGACAATCCACCAATCTATAAGGACACCACTATAGAAGATGTTACAGCCCATTATTTTAAGAAAGGCCTTGATGGAAATAGTTCATTGCTCCCATTTAGGTTGTGCAGTAGTTGAGAATTCTATTGGAGTGACTTTGATTCTCTTAAAGGAACTTTGGATTTTGTTGTATTTTATCACGGTTAACTTGTGACTATGACTTTAGTATTTTTAGTATCTTCTGAATTTTAAATAAACAACATCAAGCTCCAGAGACAAAACAAGATTAATTCACCCTTTAAGTATTTGTATTGCATAAGAGCAAATAAGCTTGTAGTTTCTTTATTATTATAATGGAAGTTTTTATATTATTATAATGGAACATGACCAGCTGTATATATAACTTATTTTGTTTCATTTTGTGTAAGCTTAATAATTATGTAACCCAAGAGTTATTAATGTTAAAATATCAAATACATAGAGAAATTATTTATTCAATAGTCAAATTTATTGATAATCGGTATGAGAATTAGGAAGTTTTCATAAGCATATTGTGTAATATCATGGTTAGGATGGAAATTGTGAATAGAAAGATGGAATGATTCTTTCATAAAAACTTTTATTTTATGTAGAAATTACAAAGGAAACTTATATTACTTTATGGCTTAAAAAATAAAAGTAATTGCTTAAAAAGATAAACATTCCATATATTTCATATGTTTTAATACATTTAAATTAGAAATCTTCTTAGATTGTAATAATTAGTGAAGACAACTCGAAAACTTTTTACATCTAGATAATGAATCTTGTAACCTTATAATATGTAATCTAATAAATAGTGTAGATTAAACGTTTCATTCATGAAATTTGGATTAAGCAATATTGTTGATTTTTCCACCCACATTTCTTTTGTACTTTTGTCTTTGATGTTTTTGATTGAATCATCTGGCCATAATTTTTTTCTAGGAGTGTAAACATTTTTATTTTAAGCAACTCTAATTCATCAAAAGAAACTCCATTTACACATGTTATTTAAACTTTTATAGTTTTTGTTAGAATGTTTGATTAAGCAAGTTGATTGTCTTTGTCAAGAGAGTGATAAAAACATAATGTATTACTGTAACTAAACATATGTACTAATAGAATTCAAACACACTTTTCATAGAATACTACCAATCTATTCCAACTTAACCAAAACCAACAGTCTTTTAAAGTTGAAGTTTAAGCATTTAGTTATGTAAATTGTGGAGAAACGAGTTTAATATTGAATGCTCATTTAGCAATATAAAAAGAAAAAAATCCACAAACCTAGTGTCTTAAGAATATTTATTGGAAATAGTATCTTCTTATATGAATTGACTTGTGAGTCATTTGTTTCAAATCGCTTCACTTATGTACTAATTTTGTTTGATATAAACATTTACTACAAGAAAAATGCAATTTACCGATATTTACACAGGGATTTTGACTCGTAACATAAATATTATATACGGATTTTATATATGAAACAAAATTTATTACCAATTTTACGAACGAATTTTAAAATAATTTATTATTAAAACTTAAAATTAAATTTTAGCGCTGCCTCATCCTCCAAAATTTACTCTCTGGCGCCTCTTGAGAAGAAGTTGAAAACCCCTCACTCACACTTTCACCGCTACACTCTAAAAAACCCTAGTAAGTTTCAGCCTCTTCCTTGATGGAAATCCTGGTCAAGCAACCTCGAGTCCATCTCCAGGCTGTATGCTCTGAGGTGATCTTCACGTAATGAAACTCCAACTCACAGGTACCATCACGTTTCTCGGCTCTATCCATAGGGTATCATTGTTGTATCGGTCTTATTTCATTTTTATTGATTTATCTGAAAGCATTTGTTTGTCCCTGTCCCCCACCCTTTTTCATTTGTATGCATAGGTTTATCCCAAACAACAGAGAGATAAAGTGTTTGAAGATGGATGTGGAGACTCTGCTGATGGAGATCTGACAAAGTATAATTGCTTTGGTGCATTTCCTTTTTCTTTCACTCCATTCTTTTCTTGTCACTTTTATACTCTAGAATGCTTCAAGAAGATTTGATTGATTAGATGGTGGTGTTGAAAAAATAACTCAGAGAGTAGTCGTTCAATTCTTGAAGAAGTTTTGCTCCCTGGTCACTGTCACATTCTCCGAGCATTTTTTGTAATGTTATTCCTTGAGCCTATTTTTTTGCTTTCTGTTTTTAATGTTAGTCACCGTGCCTTTGAGTTTTTGTTTTTTTGCTATTTGACTACTTATGAGCTCTCTGTCTCAAATGGAGGAAATATGGCCAGAAAGTTGTCAAGAATAGCATTCATCCGAGGTAATGCCACATAAAATGCAGAAGAGAATAATACATTGTTGATGCATATTAACTGAGCCCAGGCTAATCGAAAGGGAAGGGAGAAAATAGGTATATTTATATCATCACTTGTAATATTTGGTGGCCCATTATTAGTGTTTTGACAGTAAGATGCACTATAGGGGTCCCCTCTTTCGTACTATATTTCAAAACCATCCATTTTGTCGTGGTATTTCTATGACATGGTCATAACCTTGGCCTACTGCCTCTGCAGAAGCCAAGGACTTTGTGAAACGGCTTCTAAACAAGGACTACAGGAAATGATAGTTGTCCAAGCTCTAAGTAAGTTCTTTTATCAGTTCAACTATTTACTGTCCTGAGCTAATCATTATGAGATTCTTATTTTGACAGGGACTTGAGCATTATGTGGTGGTGTCTAAATCCCACACCGAGTTTCACTTTATGTTGGAAATTTGAACTCTTATTATTGTCTAACTGGGTGATTTTGGGTTGCAGGTAGAGGACACGCTTAAAAGAAGTTTTGCCGAATTCCATGCTCAGAAAAAGCTTCCAGAAATGAAACAGCTTTTGAAGCGAAAACTTGACCAGCCCCGAAAGGCTATTGAGTATGTGAATTATCCAATGTTTCTTTTCAATATTGTTTCTTTTCAATATTGTTTCAGGCTTTCGTTCCATCTCTTTATATACAATGATTTTGTCATTAAACTGTTCTCTTTTTAGCCGCGTGGCTGTTTCCAAATGAACACGTTGGTGAGAGTGGTCACCTTTATTATTCAGATAAAAGAACATTCATAATGGGAGGTTAAAAGAGTGTTATATATAAAATCAGTAATTATCTGTTATCTGCTTAAGCTTTTGGTAAGGCTGGTTCATGACAAACAATACGTATGTTAGAAATATCTGAAGATTTATTTTTTAGATAATATCTTTGGAGAGAAATGATACTCATTCATGACAGAATCCCGTTAGTATATTATTAGCACATATGAAGAACATATCATACATAGCTAAAAGTGACAGAACGTTTGGACGGTTAAGTGAAGGAGACAGATGGTGCGAACCTCTCTGCATTCCAATTCATGAATCACTAATCAATCTTGCTATCTCACACCTATTAATGCTAATTAATTGCTTTGCTTTCTCAACCACTTTTCTATGTATCCTTTTACTTTTTTTTCTCTTTCACTTACTCACTGCATGTTTGTTTATTATATAGAAATTATTTCACTATCATTTATTGGAAAAATATTTTATACTATTTTTATAAAATATAATGACTAAGTATTTTATAATTTAATTTAAGATTAAAACACAATTTTTATAATAGTTTTAAAATATATTTAATCCAATTAATTTTTTTTTTCAAATTGTAAATCTACAAATAATAAATTTATTTATAGTTTTTTATATATTATTTATCTCACTTATCTATACTTAATTAAAATTCTTAATTCCAAACTTCAATTCTAAATGAAAGATCAATTAAGAGGTCTTTCTTGGTGCTACTTTTATATTTTTTTATGGATTAATTCATATCTATTGTTCCTTTTGTATTAGTTGACTATATGTTATTTATGGGTTAATTTGATTTTTCTTGTAGCATCATTTTTATTTTGTTCTGACAGAAACTTTTAATGATTCAATAGGATGAGTCAAATGACTTGAGTGAAACTTATTACTCATACACCAGCTCAACTCGAGAAAGCTTTGACAAATGTTCTTCTTTAGTATTCAGCAATGAAAAATCTTATCCTGATTACAAAAGTGATGATAATGGTCTGTCTATGGTACACATACCTGTATAACATTGGAGTTCACTTTCAAATAATGCTAATTGAGATTCTTAAAGTTTGTTTATTATAAGTATATATTAAAATTGTAGTTGTTGAATAGCTAATACATTGTAAAAGGGTGTTATTTCTTGTAACTAGTGTATTTATTTAGGAGTTTATTATATACTATTTGTATTTATTCCTTTGAACTCTATTTAGAGTCATTTAATAAAGTTTTTGTTCACTTGAATAGATTTGGGAGAGAGTGATTGAATGAATTTGAAGATAAATTTTTGTTGTTTATTTGAGTAGATTTTGGAGATAAGTGAGAGTGAATTTGGAAGTAATTTTTTTTTAATCTGTCACATCAATCAAATTCTACATTAATTTTCACAAATTTTATTTTCAAATCTATTCTCACTTACCTCCAAAATCCACTTAAATTAACAACAAAAAATTTATCTTTAAATCCTCCTAAATTCATTAAAATCACTTTCTCTTAAATCTATTCAAATGAACAGGATCTTAATGTTTTAATTTGTTTGTTTTAAGAATAATTATATATTATACATTCTTTAAATTTGATTTTTGTAATAATTATTTAAAATTTTATAAGATTTTATATTAATAATATAACTACGAGAAAAAAAATCAATTTAATCAAATATAGAAAACAAGTTACATATGATAATTACGGATTTATCGATATGTAATTATATACGGATAAATCTGTATATAACATTACTTACGGATAAATCTGTATGCAACATTATCTACGGATAAAACATTACCTACGATCATTTTACATACAAATTTTTGTCTCTATGTAATTCATATGAAACATTATTTTACATATGAATTTTTTAAGTTATATATGGATTTTGGTTTGAGGTAACAACGACTTATCTTGTAGTGATTTTTTCTTGTAGTGATTTAAGTGTGAGGTTCAACACTACCATTCATTCTATTGTCATCTTTTCATTATCTTTTCAAGAGAGTAATAATATTTTTATTTTTATATGTGATGCACAGAGCTGTCATTTTAGACTCAGAGGCAAGTAAAAATTTTACTTATGATAGAACAACTGAAGTCAAAGCTTTTGATGATACAAAACTAGGTGTAAAAGGCCTATTAGACTCTGGTGTAACAAAGATTCCACGCATGTTCCATCATGGACAATTAGACATGCATGAGATCTCAAAAGAAGACTCAAAGTTGATTGTTCCCATTATAGACCTCCAAGACATAGAAACAAACTCATCCCTACGAGTTGAAGTAGTTGACAAGATTCGAAATGCATGCCAAAAGTGGGGATTTTTTCAAGTGATCAATCATGGTGTTGGTGTTGAAGTGTTGAATGAGATGATATGTGGAATTCGTAGGTTCCATGAACAAGATGCTGAGCTAAGGAAAGTCTTTTACTCCAGAGATAATAATAAGAAAGTCAGATATTTCTCTAATGTGAACCCTTACATAAGTAAGGGTGCTAATTGGAGAGACACAATTTCATTTTTTCTGACTCCTGATCCTCCCAATCCAGAAGAAATACCAATAGTATGCAGGTAACATTACTTGGGATTATGAAAACTAGTTTTTGACTTGTTGATCCTATCAAAATCGAGCCTTTTTCCTTTGATACAATGATCATGTATTTGTAGAGACATTGTGATTGAATACTCAAAGAAAGTAAGGACTTTGGGGGACACAATCTTTGAGCTATTTTCAGAAGCACTTGGCCTTAATCCTTCTTATCTCAAAGAATTGGAATCTACTGATGGACAATTTCTTTTGTGTCACTACTACCCTACTTGTCCTGAACCTGAATTAACGTTGGGCACTTCTAAGCACACTGATGGTGACTTCATGACAATTCTTCTAGAAGATCATATGGGTGGTCTTCAAGTTCTTCATGAGAATCAATGGGTTGATGTTCATCCAATGCATGGATCTCTTATTGTAAACGTTGGGGATTTTCTGCAGGTAAGTACTTTATAAATACATATATGTATTATAATCACATTTCTTTATTTTCTTGTGCGTGATTCTTTTCTTTGAAACAACAAAAAAATATTGAAGAATTACATAATGAGAAAGTTTTAATGTAAATAGTGTTGTGAATCCATAACCTACATGAATCAAAAATGAGATCATAAATCTTCATAGATATGCTTTATCTTTTGCTTGTTACTTTCATTATAGCACTATGATTTATTCACTCTCTTAGCATCATCCATTTCCTTTAATGATGTACTTCCATTTTTTCTTATTTCATTTCTACAAGATCTTTCAGAAATCTATTTTTACATTTAGCTTAATTTGGCTACAAGAACATGGTAAATACAACAGTTTGAGATTCGAGGTCCATAATTAGTAGATAACTAAAACATAGTATATTGGTATAAATGAGTTACAATTACCTTCTATAATGTAATAGAAAAAGTTATTCTATTTTTAAAATTTGGTTTTAAAAAATTAAAATCTTCTGGTGTTTATACTCACCAATCTCCTTTTGAATGGTACAGCTCATAACAAATGGTATGTTTGTGAGTGTTTATCATCGGGTCTTAGCGAGGAACACAGGTCCCAGAATTTCAATAGCAAGCTTTTTTATAAACACATCAGCACATGATACATCAAAGGTTGTAGGTCCATTAAAGGAATTGTTATCAGAAGAAAATCCTCCTATCTACAGGGACACTACTGTTAAAGAAGTGATGGCACATTACTTTGATGAGAAAGGCCTTGATGAGAACATTCCCTTACAACCTTTTAGGTTGTGAAGAAAATGTTGAGCATTAGATTGAAACCTTCTTGATTTCTTTGGAGTTTGATTTGTGTGATTTTTATGGACTATGATTTTCAATTTTTCATTACCTTATGAATTTTTAAATAGTTGCATCAAGTTCTATAGATAAAACAAGTTAAAGGAACTTTAATTATTGTGAAGAAAGATTGGTGTGTTTATTATTCTTATAGTGTGATTATTTGTATGTAGGGTATTAATACGGTGCCCATTCTAAACAAGGGTTTTAAAACTTTATTGATGTGTCTCCATTAATTGATTTTGATTTGTAATCATTTTATATATCACCTTATTTATTTATCAAAGTAGGTTTTCATGTATCTATTTGTATAATAGGACACTTTTAATAACTAATTTAAATGAAATTGAAGTTTAGATTATAGTAACAGATTTTGTGTCCAATAAAATGAATTAATTTCTTATAATGTGGTGAGTTAATATTTGATTTTCTCCTCGCAGATGTCTTTACTTAGTTTTCAGCTGTAGTATAAACAAAATTAATTTGAAGGGAAGATAGTTTTGGAACAAATAAGGTTTAAAATAGTTATTTATAAAATCAGATCTTAAGAGTAAATTATGATGAATTAAAATTAAAAGTATGTTAAAGAAAAGGTAAGATATGTAGATAAGTTGAATATTCTTTATTAAAAATATTGCAAATAATTATAGTTTAAAATTTATAAAAAGTTACTACATAGGGATAATTTCAAAAGAGACAAAAATATTTTAAAATGATTTTTCATCACTAGTGATAAAAGAGGTTAGTGCCTGCGTTGGGAAATCTTTCATATTCTTTAATTTTTAATATATTAATTAATATTTTTAATTAAATAAATTAAAAGAATATTATCTTTTTATATTGTATTATTTCTTTTTGATTTATAATTATGGAGTTTAATCTGTGATTTTTAATAATTTAAATTATAATATTATTATATATTTTTATTTTTCAAATAATATAATAGTAACAATTAATATTTAAATTATGTTTTATTTAATTTTTCATTCAAAAATCAGACCAACAAGTTATAATGTATATTAATAAAAAAAAAATACCTATTCAATCTGCTACGTTTTAATGTGTTGGTGAATCAGTCCGTATAAGTATAATAGTGTTTTCATCTCTATTAATGATAGTGTGTTTTAATTACGAATTGATATATAAGGTGATTTTTAATTGATTAATGATTTTTTTACTAATAACATGTCACTAAATTTTATCTATCTACTTAAATAAGTGGAATATATCGTTTATGTATTTGTATTGATACTTTCTTTTATACATTTTTTTCCTTTTCATCACCCTAATCCGTGGTAGTGTGAAAAAAAATTAAAAATGACAATTTTATGGTTAAATTACTCATTTTTCTCTCTATAATTATATGATCTCTAATTCTTCTCTCTATAATTATAATTACTCATGTTTACTTTAGTTTATTTTAAATATATTTTAGCCTTTGAAATCTTATTTTTCAGTCTTTGCAACATTTTTATTAGTAGTTCATTTAAATTTTCGTAATATGGAAAGCAAAGAAGTAAAAATGAATTTTATAAGATCTATTTTTGTATTTGTTCCTTCTAATTTGCATGTAAATTATTTTCTTTTTTTTTCTCGTTAAAGTTTTACCTTTGTTTTCGTTATTCTCATCAATCTCGTCTATATTTCAGAATTTTTGAATAATCTTTATGGTAGTTGAAGAATCAAAGACTCTTATTAATGAGACATTTTTTTTCATTAATTTGAAGTTTTAAATTATCAAATAAATGAAGAACATCAATTACAGCTACATTTAATATTCTCAAGTTGCACGCAAAACTGAAGAACATGAATTCCATTTGGTCATGATGATCTCTGGTCAACTAAGTATAGCTAAATTGGTTGAGTAGAGTATCTGAATTGTTGTAAATTCTCACCTCTGTTCAATAAATTTAGCATATACAGCAGTTTGCTAATTTAGGTAAGTCACATACAATGTTTACTCACATTTTTGTACCTAAAAGGTTCCTTTTTTGAGTCATTTGATCTGGTTTGTATAAATGGAATATACAATGAGTGTGGTCTGTAGGAGTTATTTTTCTTCCTTTGTGTTGTAATTGTAGGACCTTATTTCAAAACTGGGAAGAAGGAGGGAGAATAAAGAAAGATGCCTATGAAAATATATTCTTATTATGGCATTACAATGTTTCTTATTTTATATATATATATATATATTTAATATTTTTATTGTTATTAAGAGTTTATTAAATAATTTTGAGGGAAAAAATATTTTATCTTTTATTAGTATTTTTATTATTATCTTTTTAGATAATTTAAAAAGGTATTTTTATTTTTTTAGTATTTTTATTATTATTATTTTAGATGATTAAAGTTTTATTAAATAATTTTAAAAAAGATAAGTATTTAAATTTTGAGTTAATTATACATTTAGTAATGTATTTAATTAGTTGGTTTAATTTCGTCTCTTTATTTATTTTGTGTTTAATTAAATTCTTTTATTTTTTAAAACTGTACAATTTAGTATTTTTTATTAGATTCACATTAACATTGTGGATAGATATTTACGTTAATTACTTGAAGACTAGAGATGTTTCAGAAGGGAAGGATAAGGATTGTGTGAGAAAAGTCGGTCGTTACATATTGCTGGGTGACGACCTATATCGAAGAGGGAATAGTTAGCCTATGTTGACATGTGTTACCTTAGAGAGTGCCAACTACATTATTCGAGAGACTTATGAAGGAATATGTGGCTACCATTCTGGGGCACGAACAATGATGAACAAAGTTGGGTACTCTAGCCTACGATGTAAGCATAATGTGTTGCTTACGTCCAAAATTGCAAACCTTGTCAGAAGCACATGAACCTCATACATCATTAGTAGGAAGAGCTACATCACATCTTCTCCCCATTGCCTTTTGCGAAGTGGGGAATGGACATCCTAGGCCCTTTTGCTTCAGACAAGGGACAAGTTAAGTTTCTCTTGGTCTGTATTGACTACTTCAACTAGTGGATTGAAGTCGAACCCATAGTACCATCACGACACAACACGTTTAGCGTTTTATGTGGAAGAACATAATCTTTCGATATGGGATTGCTTAAACCATTATCACGGACAATGGGTAACAGTTCATTGATAAAGAATTGACTAAGTTCTATTTAGGACTTGACATTAGGCATATCACCAACTCGGTTGAACACCTCTAATGCAAACAACTATTTCATCTTCTGCACCACACCTACCCACATCATTTACATTTCATTAGATTTAACATCAAATCATTCAAACCTCTTTGTCGTTATGTTTCTCGAGGTTGGGGGCCTATTAAGATTATGACTAAAGATAACAAATTTTATTTGCAAAATTCTTTTGCAAGATCACGATTGCTGACTACCAGATACTAGCACTATATTTTTAGAAGCTCAACTATAGACCGACTACTTATACTCTTTGCATGCCTTAAAGACATGAAAAGACTCGGGGGTGATGTACTATGTGTGACCGAAAACCCTTCGATCCTATCAACTATGACCTTAACATGATTGATTAACTAAATATAAATAAAATCTCTCATACCTTATGGTCAGAGGAACTCACATACATGTCTGATACCACATACTTTGTAAAAGTTGAGCTACTTACTGGATGCTAAGGATTGCATTCCAAAGATGCTAAGATGTCAACATATGCCTAACTTAGCAAAAAATGATTGCAGATCCTTACATGTAAGATGGTCATTAGACCAATGGGCCTATGATCGAGACCCACTAGGTAGGGTCCATGGTTGGTGTAATTCCTCTATAAATATTATTTTATTCAAGCTTTGACTTCACTTTTGTTATTATTCATACTTGTAATTAGAATCTCTAACTAATACTGATTTGAGCTTCGAAAAATCTTTTGCAGGCACTCCACTTAAACATTTTTTAGAGGACGAGTTTTGAGAAGGTTAAGAAAATTTGAAAGACAAGTATTAAATGATAAAATGTTGTGAAGTAGAAGAGGAAATATAAATACAATGTTGATTATAAGTCTAGAACTACATTAAAAAAAAAGAAGCATGATTGAATAAAACGAATATAAATAATTAATTTTAGTTAATACAATTAAAAACTTAAAAAAGTAGTTGATAGTTGAATGAAAATAACTATAAAAGGTTGTTAAACTTGTTAAAATATGCATATATGAATATTTATGAAAGTAGTTAATTAATAAATATAAAAATAGTAAAAAATGGCACCATTAAACACCCATTTAATATGTATTATGAGAATAAAAGGAAAATAAATATGAAAAAACTAAAAGCTATTGTTTTAAAAAAATGCTACTTGAACTAGTGTTTAGAACCATTACAAATTATAAAAAAAAACTTAATTACCAAATATCGTTTATGTGATTAAAGATTTCTTAGCTAATAAAAAATTAAAAGTAACTTAAAACCCTTAATAAAATGAACCTCCTGATTTAATGAGTTGTATAATTGAAATATGCAATCCTCCCTGTTTTATACACTTCAGTTTTTCTTTTATTAGAGATACATTTTCTTTCATTATGGTTTTTCACAATCAAATAACAAGAAATATAAAATTATCCTTTTTCTTTCTTTCATGTTTTTCATACCAAACAACTTAAAAAATATTTCAATTCCATTGTTTCATAGAAAATTAACAAAAATAATATTTTGTCTGTGAACTTCTTAGAACAATCATATAGATATATTTTATCTATAATATTGTAATACTAATTTGTTGATCATATTAAAAATATATTTTAAATATTTTTTTTTTCTTATCATATTAAATCTTTCACGTGAATTCATACAGATATTATTTCGTTCAAAAGTCAAGTTTTCACGAATTTATTTTTGATATCTTTAAAAAAGATATATAAATTCATATTTATATTTTGTTTTATTCTAGGATTTTGTTTATATCTTAATAATTACTTTTTTATATTAATTAAAATTTATAAAATGATATATTAATATTTGCCTTGGAAACTCTCGTGATTTCACTCTCTCGATTGTTTTCATCGCTTCACATCACCAAAATCAAAATCAAAATCAGTTTTCTATATTTTCTCATCTACTTTCACTCATTAAATGAAGTTGTTAAATATGAAATATATCTCACAGATTGATAAATAATGTACTTTAAAGAAAAAAAGTTAAACATTATATCAATTCTATCTCTGACTGTCTTTTTTAGATGAAGTGATATTGGTGATGCATAAATGACAAATTTTTTTGGAAAGAAAAAGTAGATCTTTGTTAATAGTAGTATGCAGGGTGTGTTGAATCCACAAATTAATATTTAATTTGTATTAAACTATGTTAATATATTTGGTATTTTTTAATTCAAAATTATACCACTAGGGACCGGGCAGCGTATAGACCGGACGTTCGTATGGCCAGTAATTACCCAATTACACGACTTTGTCGCTCGTAATTCGGATGAACAACAACTCATATGAGCTGGCCACCCGTAAGACCAAATATCAGGAGGTCGGCCGACCCTATGTGTACCAGTAGGGACCGGACATCGTATAGACCGGACGTCCGTATGGCCAATAATTACCCAATTACGCGACTTTGCCGTTCGTAATCCGGATGAACAGCAACTCATATAAGTCGGCCGACCGTAAGACCAAATATCAGGAGGCCGGTCGGCCATACTGCCAGTTGACCAGATTAAGATTAAGGTAAATAGCTGCTAAAAGCTATTGGACCGAAGTTGGGCCGTGATTAACCTTTCACTAATCCCAAACCCATAACAAAAACTATAAATACAGGTCAAAGGTGAGTGGTAGGAGACACATTTACTGCACATTTATTACTGTTATATTGAAAACGACATTGCTTTCAAACTCACTTTGGCATGAGAGAATCTTTGACATGTCTCCATCACCCATACACAGAGGAGTGAAAGGAAGAGTAGGAAGCGAGACCGAACGGTCGAGAAACTGGAAGAAAGACGCGGAGATATTAGACGACTCAACCCCTACAACCGAAAAAAAATAAATATTATGGTGATTTAAATTTTCTTTAATAAATCATTGAGTTTAACTTTTGAAGTGAAATTGGAATATACACAACGCAATGATTATGTCCATCTTATCCATTTTGTAACGAAATGTTGGCCACAAATAGACACTACGATTGTTGATATTTTCGAACAAAATATTATAAAATTATTATATTTATTATTATTATTATTATTATTATTATTATTATTATTATTATTATTATGAATATCATAATTTGTGGTGCCAAACCGAATTAACTCATGTCGTGCCAAACCGAACTAACTCAAACAAAGCAACTATTTTGTGTTCACATTCACGTAGTACCGAAAAAATAACAACCACGATGAGTCTCGCCGGCGCCGGAACTTCAACTCCAACATCCTTCGACCGTTTACTGGAACTGAAAGCCTTCGAAGAAACCAAAGGCGGTGTTAAGGGTCTCATCGACGCCGGCATCACCAAAATCCCTCGTATTTTTGTCATGCCGCCGGAAGACATCGCTGTCTCCGGCGTTCGGAGCCATACCCAGTTCGAGATTCCCGTCATTGACCTCAAAGATGTCGCCGGCGATCGCTCCGGCGTGATCAACGGAATCCGGCAGGCAGCGGAGAATGTGGGCTTTTTCCAGGTGGTGAATCACGGCATGCCCGCGAAGCTATTGGAGGACATGCTGGCGGCGGCGCGTGAATTCCACGAGCTTCCACAAGAGGTGAAGGGTGAGTACTACACCAGGGAGAAGCAGAAAAAGGTGAAATATTGGACCAACTTTGATTTGTATCAGTCTAAGCATGCAAACTGGAGGGACACTCTGAATTGCACTATGGCACCTGAACCTCTTGATCCTCAAGAATTGCCTCCTGTTGTTAGGTAAAGATTATTCTATCAACATTGGAAAATGAAATTTTGTGCCTGTGTGTCAAGATTCATACACAAATTCCTTAACATGGAACATTTTTAATCTAATGAAAAGAAAATAGGAGATTGTGTACCGTGTGATCTGAAAGGAAGCAGTGCTAAATGCATTTTATTACTGTTACAATGCCAATGTAAGACTACATATGTATGAAAATGACATCAGAAAAAAATGTTAGTTTTTGGAATTCTGACAATTTTCCATAGCTGATAATAAGCACCATGAGAACTTATAAGCTTTTTACTTGAGTACACATGTAGTACCTGGAGGAACAGGGTATTCTTAGAGAGTTTGTGAACTACAACGTATAGTAATTTTTTGTGTGTTCATCAAACTTTCAGGGATGTAATAATGAAATTCTCAAGGCAAGGTCAAGTATTTGGTAGCCTTTTGTTTGAGTTGCTATCAGAAGCACTTGGGCTCATGCCTAACCATCTTGAAGAGATGGATTGTGCAAAGGGACACTTAATTTTGTCTCACTATTATCCATCATGCCCTGAGCCTGAACTCACTATGGGTCTCAGTAGCCACACAGATCCTGATTTCCTCACGGTTTTGCTTCAAGACCATATTGGTGGACTTCAAGTTTTGATCCAGAATCAATGGATTGATGTGCCCCCAATTCCTGGAGCACTTGTTGTAAACATTGGAGATCTACTGCAGGTAAGTTACACTAATCGTTTTATCTAATTCTTTTACACATAAATGCCAATTTCCTGCACTACTTGAAGATGAATAATAATACAATCACATCACGTAAAAGTGTATATCCATGTTGCCTCATGTGTGTGATTATATTTGTAAAGCTTTCAAATTTTGGTATTCCCTGATAACGAAAATGTATATGGCTAAATGAATGTTGTGTTGCAACACAACTGCAGCTTCTTTCCAATGACAGATTCAAAAGTGTGGAGCACCGTGTGAAGGTAAACCAGAGAGAGGCCAGGGTAGCAATTGCATTCTTTTTCACTCATGATCACTGTCCATCAACAAGAATGTATGGCCCCATCAAGCAATTACTCTCAGAGGATAATCCCCCAGTATACAGGGAAACAACATTGCAGGACTTTAATCATCACTTTTATAAGAAGGGACTCGATGGAATTCCTGCTCTTTCCCATTTCAAGTTATTTAGATAAATACCAAATATGAAAAAACTTTCATGCAGTACTACATGTTTAATAAAGTTTCACCTCATTTTAAGCTTTGTATTGAAGTTTTATCCTGTGGTGGATGATAGTCTGATTGAAGATCATCTGCAGTTGGTTTGAGTGTCTTCTACTTAGTAATTGGAATAAAATGTAATCATCATGCAGTTATTTTCATTAATTTTTAACGAAATACATTTAATTTTATAATTCGGCGTTCATCTCAGTTGTGTTTATCGAGATGGTGGGATCAAGAGGTGGAGGTAGATTAAGATGGGCTCAAACGGAGGGTCGCAATACGACTACGCACTTCTTCTCTCATTTTCCAAATAGCTATGGTGTGAATGATATGTGGAAAATCTTTCAACGATGGGGGAACTGTTTCAGATGCATTTATAGCAAGGAGATTGGACAAGTGGGATCATACCGGTTTCATGAGATTTCTCGACGTGCGAAATGTTCAAAGGCTCCAACGAGAGTTGGATTCTATTATGATTGGCAAAAATGATTGGAACCATCAGACTCAACAAAGATCTGAACCACAGGTCAACAAAACTCCAAAAATTAAGTCTGTGTGGAGGAAGAAAATAAGCCAACGCTCATATGCACAGGTGACAAAAGCTACGGTCAGTAGCTCCTCATGATGTTGATTCAAGGGATGGAAGGAATGGAGGTAGGAAAGTTGATCGATGAAAATTGAAAGTGGTGGGAATCCAACTTCGGGTCAATAATGCAAGTAGTAGGAACAGAGTAGTTTGGGTTAGGTGCAGAGGCATAGCTGCTTGTCAATAATGCTGAAAATGCTGACAAAATTCAGATAGATGATATGGTTATTTATGATGGGAAAGTTAGCGATTCAACCAAAAGGGAAGGGGATGCACATAGTAGTCAGTGACCATTTTGAAGGTCAAGTCCAGAAACTAATGAACAATATCATGGACTTACAATGTGTCATAAAAGACATATTTGTGAGTGAAGGTAAGGTTGTTGGGAAGGGTTTCACTACTGTTTTTGGGAGGTGTATATTATGATATCCAAAGCGAGCGATTATCAACCAAGACCGAGCGCTCTACTCACTGTAGAAACGTTCGCCAATTCTATCAAACACTCGTCAATTCAACCAAAGTTAAAAGCGCTTGTCAAACCACGATAATCAGATCAGCGTACGTTAAAAGTCAAGCGACACTCAATCAATCCGACCAAACCGGGTTTAGCGGACGCTCAATTCAGTCAAACGATATTGGGCCGATTAGCTCAACATTTAAGTAATTGGACCAATAGTCCAGCAAAAGAGGAAACCGTCAAAAATATCTGACGTTAATAACGCGGATTACGAGAGCAACTAGCCGAATTTTAAGAATAACGTGGATCACGACAACTAACCGGATTTTAAGGCAATCAGTTTGTTTTACATTTTGTTTATGTTAAATACAACAGAGACCAAGGAAAAAATGTATGTTTTGCTCTAAGACTAAAAAGATCACATTGTGAGAAAAGATCACTTGTTTTTGAGAACTAAGGTTCCATAACCCATATCTGACTTTAACATCAGAGTATCTTTGCAGGTACTCCACTCACTTCCATTGAGGAGGACGCATTTCACTAGTGAGAGGAGTGCGAACAAGTTACAGTCAGGTGAGCGACTGATATTATTGGAGGAAGAACGATTGTCCCAGACATTCAGAAGTAATAAAGCATCGTCAACAAGATTCGTATCTCGGTCTTAAACAATCATACTGAAACACGAAGTATAATAGGAGTGCTAGTATTACTCCTGTTTATATAGCGATTTTTAATGTTTACTCTTCATGTGAAATTAATGATAAAGAAGGAATGTGGAAGGAGTTCATCAAAATAAAATCATTGGGACAATGTAAGCAATGGTGCACATTCAGTGATTTCAATGCTATAAGGGATACTAGTGAAAGGAGGGGACTAAATTTAAGAGCCAGCAATGCAAAAAGAGAAATAAAAGGTTTCGGTAATTTAATTGAAAAAGCTAATTTCGTCCTAATATTTTTTTTTGTCTTAAGTTTTGTTAATTTTGTTCAATTTAATTCTTTTTAGTGTCGTTTAAATAATTAATTGATATTGAACAAAGTATGTGATGTGTTAGTCAATGTTTTTTTATTTTTTTAATTTTAAAAAAATATCTACATGTCGAGCCATTATCGTGCAACATGGTAGTAGTAGTGTCACATGATAATAGTAGTGTCATGTGACAATAGTTGTACAACTTTTAAGAATCAATGACACATTTTAGTGTGAGTGTCTTATATTCAATTCTAAAAAATGGAATAATTTTATTCCTGTCCAAATTGAGATCAAATTTAATTTTAATATAAATGTTATACTAATTTTTAGGTTTAAACTATTTAATTGATTTTTAACCTAAAAGTCATAAATATTAAATAGTTTAATTGACTTTTAACTTTAAAATCACATAAAGTATTAAATAACTTGTGTGATTTTTAATCTCTTAAAATTTTAAATCAATAGTGTTAGTTCCCATTTCTAAAATTTTCATTCTAATTTTAAACCAATTTTAAATTTACATTATAAATATTTAATAAAAAAGTGAATGATTTTGATATAGTGGTATTTTATGTTAAATTCTTTTTAGAGAAGACATAAAGTAAATTTGATACCAATGAGATATGAAAAATCAAAGTATCATTTCAACTTAAAACCTTAATTAAGTCTAAATTTTAAAAGAGACAAGATTTTAAAATAAATTAGATCTAAATTAAACAAAAATAACGAATATATGGATAAAATTGAATACAAGATACTATCATGTATCACATGTAATATTGACCCTTGACATGTCACACTATTACTACTATATGACACAATGCTAGCTTGACACGTGGATTTTTTTTAAATTAAAAAAAATTTAAAAAAACATAATCTAAACATACATTATTCATTGTCCATTAATTATTTAAACACATTGAAAAAAAAAACTAAATGAAATAAAATTAACGAAAATTAAAATCTTATTAAAAAATAATAATATTAGGATTGAATTGTTAAAACCGAAAAAAAAAATAGAAACTAAATTAATATTATAACAATTAAGAAATTCAAATTAAAAAATAATCTATTAAAATTATATGAAAATAATCTATCATGCATAGCATATAAATACGTGTTCGGTTTAGCTTAAATTTAGTATTTTTCTTCTAAAGCAAATTAGTTCATATTAGAAGGAAATTAATTTTACCTGAACACTTACCCAATATTTTTTAGTTATTGTTTTTTTTTTCCTTCTATATACAAAATAATATTTTTACCGTTATTTACCTCCTTTAACTCTTTACTTTAATGCCTACTCAGAATAAACCTTAAGATTATATCTATCTATCTAATAAGTAGAGACTAAGGACTTACGGGGTTTGGAGAAATCGTCCAACTAAATATTCTAGTAAGTGTTATTAGAATTTAAAAAAAAATATATAGTTTATGGGAAAATATTATTTGAGTTCTTAATTCAAAGTATTGATCTTTGTTAGGGTTTGCCATTGTAAGGACCCATAAAATAAACGGTTAAGAGTAGATAAATGTATTAAAATAATGAGACTGAACACTTAGTGTTAAAATAAGCTAACAATATAAATAGAAGTTTTAAAACACTCAGCTCATTATATCATTACGTTCTATCTCTAAAAACACTATCTTATACCTTTTTTCCTCCTTCTCTCTAAAATTACTCACTGTTGGTTCATCTTATCAGTGATCAGAACCTCCCTAGGCGATCCTAAGATCAAGGGCTTCCTTTTTTACTGATCAATTTCGTGTTTAGAACTGGTAAGTTTGTCTCTCTTTGATTCTTGAAATTTCTACAATTTTTGGGGAATATGCAAGCATTGTTCGGTTTTGCATGTGTTCATCGGTTCTTCATCTGGGTTTTGATTCTGTTTCTGGTTTGGTGGATGGTTTCCTTTCATCAATCCGAAATCTATAGGTTGTCTTAGGATCACTCGCGGTTTAGCAAAACTGTGGAGAGGTTTAAATATGTCAAGTTGCTTTGAGGTAAGGGAAGCTAGTTAATTTAATTGTTTGGTTGATGATGTATGAAAATGTTGTTGATGATTCTGCATGTGTGTGAAATTGAATGATTTGATGTTCGATGATGCTTGTGTGAACTGGTAGATGCTATGTTCATGAGGGTTGTGTTTCTGCAGAATTTTGGTTCAATGGCCGAGTGAATTGTGAGGAAGTGTGATGGTGAAATTGGGGAATTTGTGTTCAGTGTGAGTTTGGTCTGTATAGAGAATCTGGGCAAGTTATTTAGGACTCGTTGAGATCCTTAAGTCACTCAAAACTGTACTAAAACGGAGAAATCTGGTTTTCGGTCCTTGAGTTCATGATTCTACAAAATTGAATCTCAAATCTGAGATGAAATTTCTAAATGATGTTAGAAAGGTTTAGATACTCTTAGTTAAATGTAAAGATGAGTATGATATATGTTTGGACGATTAGAAGTTGGGAAAAATGTTTAGTTTTGGTAAAATCTAACTTGTTTATAATTCTGCAGAAGTTTTGCAGAATTATGTAGAAAGCTGAGCGTTCGCTGTTGACCGCTCGGTCATGTTCAAGTACTCGGTCATTAACTATGTTCGGTCTCTTTAGTCTTACCCGTTCATGACCATTCGGTCTTAGGTGGGTGGTTGGTCTTAGTAGTGCTCGGTCTTGTACTAGCACTCGATCTTAGTAGTGCTCGGTCTTGTACTAGCACTCAGTCTTAGTAGTGTTCGGTCTTATACTAGTACTCGGTCTTCGTAGTGCTCGATTTTGTATTAGTGTTCGGTCTTAGTAGTGCTAAGTTTTGTATTGGTGTTCGGATTTAACTACATTTGGCCTCCTATGGGTCTTCTGTTAATGATCGTTCGGTCATGCTTTGGTAATCAGTTTTTGATATTATTCGGTCTAAATTCTAAATGTTCGGTCTAGGCCATAAGGATTATGTTTAATTATAGTGTTCAATCCTCAAATTGTGTTAGGCTCATGCTTGAGCCTTACTCGTTAAATGACCGTTCAGTCATGTTCGCGTGTTGTGAGTGTTTTCCCGTTCGGTTTTGTTCATAGGTTATGTTGATTTTTTTCACTTGGTCGTATTCATGGGTGGTGGTTGTTCTATCGTTCGACCTTAAACTACTGTAAGATAT